TGCATGGAAAGGGACTCGGTATATATATTTTCAAAGCATGGTTGAAAAATGAACTAGTGGTGAGCTGCAAAGCGATAACTCCAAGACATGGGGATAGGGGAACAACGATATTGGCATATTTAGATCTATGGCCCTACTTTATATATACGTATATCCTCTTCTGAGGTTCTAAATCGGTTTGTGCTGAAATATTCATTATATATCTTCATTAATCGGAAGAACACAATGCATTGATGAGTTGACTATTCTTTTAGTTTCGAAATTATTTTCGAAACCCCGCAGCAAAACACAAAAGCCAAAAGGTACGTAGATCATTAACTAATCATTAAGGCCTAATGTTTCATCTAACCTAGACTGACACTAGAGATACTGTGGCTCATTTTGATCATGCGACAATACCAGGCCAACTATCATAGATTCACAATATTGACAAAAAGCATCAATGAAATGAAGCAACTAAGTAAATGATGGAAGGATAGAAGGGAGACATTGCAGGTTGCCAGTGTTCGTTTCTTTGGCAAGTCATTCAAAAATGTTTCTGGATGCAAACGGGTCATGATGCTCGAAATACGCATCATGGGTCCATTCTGTCTCTTGCGAGTCGACCTCTGCTTATCACCTCTTCTAAATTATTGATCAGTTATGCTTATCTGGAAGCAAAGAAAATGAATGCCAAGTCTCAACAAATAGCTTGTCGGAGACACTTCAACATCCAAAACTTGCCAAGGGCACCATAAGACGGGAAAAAAAAGCGTTCAAATTCAAGCTTATAGAATATCAAAATTGTTGCAGTTAATTTGTTTTTGTGAACCGAATAAAATTTCATGGATATGATGCTTTTTGAGGGTGTCTGCATTCGAATTCAAGCCTCTTAAGAAATTTGAGAGTTTCTAAGTTCGATAGGCCTTTTCTTCCCTGCTACTTAATTAGAGTATCATTCCATTGCATGTAATTATGTAAATAACTAGTCATTTGGCCCAAACATTTGAGCTTATCGATGAAAATAAACTACAGGATTTTATCCTTTACTATCGAAAATATAACTTCATCTTGAAATTGAGGATGTATTAAAAACACGGTACTTTCAAATTAGCCAAGCTAAACGAAGCTATGCATTTGTATGTTGAAAAATTCAAAAAGCTTAATTAAATTAGATCGGGCTCAAAGGGAATCGATTGAATGATCTCAAGAATCTCAAGCTTTAGTGTTCCTCCAAGTTCGAGCTTCAGTTAGTTGGTAATTTTATTGACGTTATTTTTGTCTATCGTAATCATTATCAATAACTTTAAAATACGTAAGGAAATCACTATAATTTTCTTCATGTTTTTATTTATATATTATAATTATAATAATATTACTATTTTTTTATTTTTTGTTTGTTTTTTATGCATTTATAAGTTTTTTTTTGTGTTTTTTTTAAATGTAATTTGTTAATATTACTTTTTTTATTTAATTTTCAGATTTTTATTTAACTTAGTTTGACAGTTAATCTGATTTTTTTTGTTTTTTTAATTAATTTTTTTTTAGTTTAATTTTTTTAGTTTAATTTTTTTTTATTTAATAATTAAATTTTTATGATATATATCTCGAGTTTGACAAATTAACTTGGTTTAACGGTTTAACTTAGTTAATTTATTATTTTTTTATTTAATTATTAAATTTTTATTACATAAATTTCAAGTTTAATGAGTTAATTTAATTTAAAAGTTAACATCGTATTAATCAAATATTGTTCTAAGAAGCCATTTTATTTTTAAATTCAATCAATGCTATGGCAACCAAAACTCCAAACCACTTTATTTTTAAATTCAATCATTGTTATGGCAACTAAAGACTCCAAGAAGTCGAAAAAAATATTATAAAAAATTCACAGCCATTATTTTTTCCTGCTTGTGTCCTTATTAGGTAAGCCAGAAGATCCACGGAAATGGAAACGACCTTCCACCGTATGAAAGAGAGATCATGATGCGGGCGAGGTTATAGTGATGGGAAGAGCTTATTTTTTTTTTTTTATATTTGAATTCGAATTTTATTATGCACGTCTATACTGGTTCAAATAGACAACATACATATGAATTAATGCCCTGTTCATGACCATGGGACCTAGTTTACCAACGCTTTGTCTGCATCTATTGACCTGTTCTTCGAAAGCATATAATCGAGCTAGCTAGCTAGCTCGATTACAAAGCATGTACTTCATGCTCATTTGAAGTGTGAATGATATTGATAGGTATTTTAAAAAAATATTTTATAAAAAATAATTTTAATTAAGTGTAGTATGATATTTATACATATTTAATTAAAAATATTTTTTAAATTAAGATTATAAAATAATTTTTAAAAATACATATTAATATTGATGATTTTAAATTTAAATATTATATATTTAATTAATGCTACTATATTATAAATATATAATATTTAATATAAAATAATATTTATTATTTTATTAAACAATTTATAATTTTATATAAAATATATTTGATAAAAACTATAATTTTATTTGTTTTGTAAGCGCATAATAATATCAGGTAAAATATTATTATAAATAAAATTAAGATTGTGATTAAATACTATAAATATTATATTATTAAATAATTTTTTTTAAATTTAAATAGTATTATTTAATAATATAAAATATTAATTTTTTAAATAAAATATAATTATAAATAAAAAATAAAATAAAATATTTATTTTTTTACTTGATCAAATCTGTTTCTTAACTTTGAATCAGTGAGTGATATGAATGGCTAGTAACTAGGCTTTGAAATTATCCTTTTGATTTGTTTTTTTTTAAAAAAGAAACAGAAAGAAAGAAGTAGCACGTGGGCGGCTTGGATTAGTGAGTGACATTCATGAATGGCTAGCAACTAGGCTCTCGATTCCTTATCGAGTGACAGACAGGAAAAGAAAAAGGACACGAAAGTAGAAGTGGAGTTGTTTCGAGTGACGGAATGGTCCTTGATGTTTCAAAACAAAAAAAGCCGTCCTCAAAAACTCCACTCCCGAAGCCAAACGAAAGTGAAAAAGGCCGGCCCATTACTACCTTCTTAATAAATCTGTCACAGTAATTAATTTCAACAAAAGCGCGTAGCCCTTTTTCAGTGTTATAACTGTTTATTTTCGTGTTTTAAAAATATTTTTAAAAAAATTTAATTTTTTTATTTTTTATTTTAAATTAATATATTTTTTTATTTTTAAATTATTTTAATACACTGATATTAAAAATAATTTTTAAAAAATAATAAAATTATTATTAATATATATATTTTAACATAAAAAAATATTTTAAAAATAATTATAATTACACTTTTAAATAAATTAATTTAATGTATTAACTGTTTTTATCGTGAAAACAAACATAGTTTTAAAAAATTCAAAATGAGAAACCTTGATTTAGTCTCTAATCTATATAGTCATTTTCAATTAGATCCTACGGCTGTACATTTCATCAGTTAGATCCCCGGTGCTTCCTGAATTTCTCGATAGTCGACAGGGTTCTTTTGTTAGTGTTTGTGATCTAATATGCATATTTTGTACAATAAAAATACATCATCTTGAAGATAATTTGACGAGGGAATTTTCAAAAGGACTTGATTAAAAAATTCTTTTATCTTCTTTCCATTCCTGCAATGCAGTTATGTTGCTCGGGAGCCTATTTACTGTCTCCATTAAGCCCTTCTAGCTCCTTGATATCTTGTCTTCGATCGGATATAAAATTGGATTTAATATTGATATCCAAAAATTTACACAAGGATACCATGGATTACAGAGAAATAAAAAAGGTTTATCGTTTTAATGAAAAAGAAAGAAATCAAGTTATTAGAGGTGGGGAAAGCCAATCTTTGTAATCTTAATCCTCGGATCATTTCTTTTTCTGGACTCTTATTTAATTACATCCAAGAACAGCTGATTTGTTATAAATTCAAATCGCAACGGTGAATCCTTTTGCTAGTTTCTCTTCTGAATACATATGATTATAGTTTTTTCTTTGCATCGCTTGATTTCCTTTCAATCCCTTTAGATAATATCTCTATAAAATAATTTATTGTTTTTTAAGTAATTTTCATGGAAAATAACTTATTTTTTATATTTAATAATGTTATAAAAAAATTAAAAACAATTTATAATATTTTTTATTTTTTTAAAATTATTTTTAACATTAAACTATTAAAACAATATAAAAATATAATTTTTTTATTTTAAATAAAAAAATTTTAAAATTAAAAAAACCCTTCAATCAACTATTTTTATTGAAACAATAATATTTCTCTCTTTATTTTTATTTTGTTTCCTAATATAAACTCGATCAAATTTAAACCAGATACAATTAGATATTCAAGTCATTAAAAAACTTATTCAAAGTTTCATCAAATAATTTCTTATTCGGTTTAATTAAAACTGAACCGAGGTTAACAACTATAATTTCTGCCTTCACATGAATCCTCCAGCTGGATCGGACAAAAATTCAATATTGGCTGCTATAAATCCTACTCATGCCACGCATCCCATCATCCCCAAGAAAAGGAAAATAAAAAATTTTCTTCGCAACGTTCAATACGGTAACAACCCTATTTATCCCCATCCTTATCTTCTTGCTCCACTGCCCCCAACTTTGAATCTGTTTTTCTGGACTGACTTTTGTCTTAGCAAAACTGATCCCCGCCCGCCCCCCAATTCAATTGATCTCGAAATTAGCGATAAATTTATTTAATTTTAACTGAGAAGTAACTAAACCTCTTTAATCATCTTAACAAATCTTTTTTTATTTCCGTTCCAAATGCTATCTTTTGTTGGCAACTCATTGATGGATAAGACGTCATTTGCACAAAATGACAAATTGCTTCGATTTTATTGTATCCCAAGGTGGAACATCACAGAAATACGAGAAGGGGATGTGCCCACCTCGTGGCCTTCCAATTTTTCAACCTTCCTCTGGAAAGCCAGAGTCAATTGCTTGCATTAATTTGAGTGGAATCACAAAAGATTAGCAGATACAGACACTTCAAATTGCATCTCTCCCTATTATAAAACGAACAAATCTTCATGTTGGGTATAAACAATTCAAAATATTAGCACTCGGAGAACTTCTCATTGGCTATAAATAAGCTCCTTCTTCTGTTAAGACATCAGAAACCAAACCATGGCTAGTGCTGCTGAGTCTTTCACCCCCCTTCTTCTGATTTCTTCTCTCCTTGTAGCTTCTTGGTTTTGTGCCACTGAAGCAAAAAGCACTGTTCCTGTTGTGCAGGGTCTGTCTTGGACATTCTACCAGTCTAGCTGTCCAAAAGTTGAATCCATTATAAGGAAACAGCTAGAAAAGGTGTTCAAGAAGGAGATTGGCCAAGCTGCTGGCTTGCTTCGTCTCCACTTTCATGACTGCTTTGTTCAGGTTACATAATACATGTCAAGATTTCCTTGAACTCATTTTAATTAGCATTCACTAATATTTTCAGTTGTAGAATTTATCTTTCATTAATTAATATCTACACATTAAAACTGCAGGGATGTGATGGTTCAGTTTTGCTTGATGGATCAGCCAGTGGTCCAAGCGAGCAGGACGCACCTCCCAACCTTACCTTGAGAGCAAGGGCATTTGAGATCATTGACGACCTACGCGAGCGCGTACACAAGGAGTGTGGCCGTGTCGTCTCTTGCTCTGACATTCTAGCAATTGCAGCTCGCGACTCTGTTTACTTGGTGAGCCACTCGAATCACTCTGTTGTACTAGTCTTTGATACTGGCTAGTTAGCATCCAGTATAAAATTGAACTCCTTTTACACCGTTACATACACGTATGCTGTTCGGTTGTATTCCTGGGAACTTTTGGGCTTGGGTCCAAGATTTCAATTCCTTATCTCGGAGTTGGGTTGAGATCGAATAACTAGCAGCTTTCTCTGATAAATCTCATCAGTAAAAATGGTTATTAAGGGCTCTTGCTCTCGTCACACAACGCGTGAGTCAAGGCTTTATGTTTGTATCTACCTCTAATTTCTGTCCCGCAACAAAGGGCATTGGATGTGATTGACAAGGCGTCAGATAAGCTTTAGCCGATGTTGTCGTTGGAGCTTTGACTATGTAGGACCGTTTTTGTATCTAAATACGGAAAATTGACACCTCTCAGTTTTTATCCGGTTAGTTGACGAGTGATAGCGAGAGGCAAAATCTGCATTAAGTCTCTGAAAAAATGTTACGTATATGACTTGTCACTTGTCATGAACATTATACATATACAGATGTGTGGACAGGATATATATATTTCTAATGAGAGTCGTAATATTTTAGTTTAGTTCAATTTGGCGATAATAACAACAGGGTTTCACAGTCAAATTTAGGCGACAGGCATTGAAAAATTGAAATAATATGCCCAATTAAGATTCCTTTCAGTCATAACTCATAACAAAAGCTAATCCTTCTTCAACTTCTATGGATTTTCTTCTTTATTGCAGTCTGGTGGTCCAGATTATGATGTTCCCTTGGGAAGGCGAGATGGTCTGAACTTTGCAACACGAAATGCAACCTTAGATAACCTGCTGCCACCCTTTGCTAACGCCGATACAATTCTCTCATCTCTCGCCGCCAAAACCTTTGACCCCACAGACGTGGTAGCCCTGTCCGGCGGCCACACCATTGGTATAAGTCATTGCAGCTCTTTCACTGACCGCCTCTATCCAACCCAAGATCCTACCATGGACAAAACCTTTGCCAACAATCTCAAAGGCATTTGCCCCGCGAGTGACTCCAATAGCACTACCGTGTTGGATATTCGGTCCCCTAATAATTTTGATAACAAGTACTATGTCGATCTCATGAACCGCCAAGGCCTGTTTACCTCGGACCAGGACTTGTACACGAACAAGAAGACAAGGGGCATTGTCACTAGCTTTGCTGCTAATCAAAGTTTGTTCTTTGAGAAGTTTGTGGTTGCAATGATCAAAATGTCACAGCTAAGCGTATTGACCGGAAAACAAGGTGAAATTCGCTCAAGTTGCTCGGTGAGAAACTCAGGCTCCAGCTACTTGGAGTCTGTGGTGGAAGAGGGCTTCGAGGCACTGTCAGAATTAATATAACTAATGAAGTAAAACTCCAATAACATGAAATGCCAGGTTCCACTAGCTAAGATAAAAAAGAGTTTGGGGCGGTTGGATCGTTGTGAACATGTTGCTGTTTTTCTACAAATGCTGCTTGTTCTTTTCGTTTCTTTTCTTTTCTTTTTGATAACTCAAAGGCTGCTTGTTCTTAAAGTAGTCGAGTCTGTAGATGTGGTAGTAGTTTTCAAGAGTAATATTTTAAAAACTAATATAATGACCTTTTGCTGTGTTATTTTCGAAAGTTATAATTTATAACTTCATAAGAACTACAATCACAGCTTTTCCAAATAGACCGGGATAAAAGTCCAATCTAAAAACAAACAAACAAAATAAAAATACTTCAATACATTTCATTGTTCTCTTCAAGTCAAGACTGAGCTATTGCAAATAAAGCTAAGGCTGTCTCTGTAGTTTGTTGTCTCTTTTGTCTCTTTTCTGCCACAATTCGAAGGACAATAATGTATTTTAAGGAATTGGTTCGTACAGCGTTCCTTGGTAACACAGCATATAGACCAATCAAGCTCCGATTTCTCCACTTCCTTGCGTGGGTGTTTCGAAAAATATTTAGATCAACGAAGTATCAAGGTTAAAAAGGAACTTGTATGCAAATTCATTTGAGAAGAAAAGATAGGAGCTTAAGTAACTGTTTTTCTTTATTTTGAAGGCGAGATAAATGCATGGAATGAAACTAAATATGTAATAAAAAAAAAAAGAAAAAAAAGAGAGAGAGAATTATTTTATCTCGATTTCTTTCCCTCCATTTGACCTCCTATCTTTTTCTTCTTCCACCACATGTATATATTTTGAAACTGAAAAAGTCTTGGGCTCATTTAATTTAGATTAAATTAGGATTTTGGACAAAGATACTAGATCCAATGATCCATACTCCTGTTTTTTTTTTTTTTATTGACGAGTTTGAATCTGCAGGTCAACGATTGTCACCTCTAAACAATAGTGATTATGTACATTTAACAAACTATTTCTTTTTAAAACAAAATCCAATAAGTACTACTGTATTTATTTATTTATTAATAGCATAGCTCGTGTGAGACCTCCTAAAAAGTTAGCCATCCTTGAGTGATACATGAACGATGGATGTGCTCACGTTTAATGTACATACGTTTTCATCCCCTTGATCATTGGCAAATCGACTAGGTTTGATTAGAGGGTTATGCCCTCTAATCCTAGGTTGTGCCTGGGGCTGCATGGATCGTTAGGCATCTCTTTTGTCTTGAAATTTGCTGACGATTTAATGCGCATTGGACCCGAAGGCACATCTAGGCTCAAATTAAGGAACGTTCGTCTCGAAGAATATTGGGTCACCAGGGCACCCCTGAGCCCAATGTTGAGAGTGTATGCCACATGGGATATGGAGTCACCGAGGCATCTGAATCCATGGCGAGGCTCACAAACATACGAGTCCAGTTTAGACTATTTGTCTCCAGTTGAACTTCGAAACCTACGATGATCTTGAAAATATATAAATACTCGACCTAGATATGAAAAAAAAAACGTTTATGGGCTCGGCCCAAAAGAGTACTTGACCATGGGACCATCAGATCCCAATCACAGCTTCCAAACAAGTTTGGATGGAAATGGAGCAGTTGCGTGGCAAGCGATCCTCCTAAAAAAAACTTATTCTAAAGGAAAAATGGAAAAGTTCACAATTATTTTTAATATAAAATAGTTTGATTCTTTATGCTAAGCTACTAGATGAAGCATTTTTTTTTAACACAAGAAAGGGTGTATGCATTGTTAATAGTTTTGTTTACTGTCAAGAAATTTTTTAACACAAATTAAAAGGTCAATACACCCATTCAATAAAAAGAATATGAGAATTATATATGCTAATAAATAATAATATTTTTTTCATTTTAATTAAAGATGGGAAATTGAGATAAATATGTTATTTCTTAACGAGAAAGGAGGTTGAATATTTGTTTAAATTTAAAATTATATCTCTAAGGTTTTAATTGATTTGAATTAATAAAATAAATTACAATGGTTAAATAAAAAGCAAAAGGACTCAATAAAACAAAAAAATAATGCAAATGAAAAAAAAAACCCCAATCCAAGAAGAAGAGGAAGGATGTGAACCAAAAAAATTAAAATGGTTCACCTTTCATAATCCAAATATCATTTCATAATTTAGCGAGTATTAATTTTACAAAACCAAACTACAATTACTTTATAAAAATTCAAAGGACTCAATAAAAAAAGAGGACCAGAATAAAAAAAAAAAGGGCGTGAATAAAAAAAAAAGACTCAATAAAAAAAATGTGAGTGAAAAAAATAATATTTGAAGTAGTAAAAAAAGTAGATGAAAAAAAGAGAAATTTGTGAAATGAAAAAAAAATTGGAAAACAAATGTGCATCGAAAAAAATGATTTGAGGTGAAGGTGGTTCATTGTTGTTCACCTCGAAATCTTTTAATTTTTTTTTTATAATTTAAAAAAAGGACATTATGGTTGATATAAATATACCAAAATATATATAACATAAGAGACACACACACACAAAAAATGAGATGCGTGCAATTAATTTGACTTTTTTCCTTCATCGATTATGTATTGTTGTGCTTTTCCCCAATTAGTAATTTGAGATGTTTGTTAAATGTTCTTTTTTCCACAGACAGAGAAAGGTATATAATTAGTAGAAGGTTATAGATTATAGAGTGATCTAGTTTTGTTTTGGAGACTAAATTGTTTAATGATCACAACTGCTGTTAGCTAGCTAACGCGGGAGTCAGGTCTATAATTTCTGCCCTGCAACCAAGGGCATTGGTGTGATTAATAATGCACCAGAGAAAATGCTCAGCCATATTGGATCATGTTAATATTGTTCGAGCCTTGACTATAATATTAATTTTATTTTAATTTTTCTTCGGGTCATGCTTTTTATCGAGATACAGACAGGCAAGCTTAATTCAAAGCCAGGTCCATACACCTCCATAGCCATGAAAACGGGGATGTCTACGCTAGTTTATCATTTTACCAATCCCAGGCGATTTCATTTGGTGATGTTTCTGGACGGTGGTTCTAGACATTGCAATTCCGTTGCTTTCTCTTTGTAAAACACTACTTGATTGCCCTGTAAAATTTTAGTTTGAATGTCTAAGTAGGCTAAGTAATTTTTTTTTATTAATATAAATATTCAAGTTAATTTATATGTATCTTAATTAATTTTATATTTTTTAAAATTAACAATTATACAAGTTTTTATTAATCTTGTAGGAATTAAAACGATTTATTTAGAAGTTGGCTATGTTAAAAGGTATTTACAGCTTGATATTTTAAGAAATTTGTAAATACGTGTTGCTGCCGGATGAAATTAACCTCTTCCAACAAGAATGGCACGCAGTTCAGTAAGACTAAGACTCAAATTGGTTGTCATTTAATTAAATCATACTAAATGCGACTCGCCGTATCATATATTAATTTCAAGTTTAAGTGAAAAAAATTAAACCCTTGCTAAATGAGCTCATGATTCATTAACTATGCGTTTTTATTCGTCATTGACAAAGACCATCGCTCGGTTACCTCATTCCTATGTAATCAATTAATTTTCATAATGTTAAAAATAATTGAATTAAATAATATTTTAAAAGGAGCAAAGTTATTCACACACATATAGTTAATGAGACAAGAACTTCGACCGATTCTTAAAAGGGGATCAAAAAACAAAACACTCCGTCAACACGAAAACACTCCGTCAACACTCCGTCAGCTTAATTATAATTAATTTTTGATAAATTAATTAACGTGTGAAGAGTTTTTAAAGTAGAATATTTTCTAGGTGGGTGCTTGGTTTAGTGGTGATCATAATGGCCCCAGAGCAAACCAAGGGCCTTCAAGAGAAATATTCTACTTTAAATGAGTACTCTTTGAAATTAATTTATCAAAAAAACGAAGCCTACCCCTATCCTCACATTTGGGCATGAGCATAATAGATAGGACACGGTAAACATATCTTAAACACATGGCTAGAAAACCATCTCACCATCTCTCCCTCCATCCTTTTCGTTCAAACCTTTCTTAGGCATACGTTGCATCGACTGTTTATAAGCCACGTCAAGCGCCATCCAAAGGAATTAAGAACTAGTTTTTGTGAATAATCAATAATTAAGAGAATATAAAAATCCCCGATTAGTGATACATACTCTTTTATATTGTCGGGCAGCCAGAACTTTCAGTCACAGAGAGAAGAGGAGGGAAATCGAAGAGAAGGATTGAACTAAAACAAAATTATTCGCCTTTAATTAATTCCAATATGATTTCTTATTATTTACATCCTTTAATTAAGTTTTTACATGTATTTTATGAAGATTAAGAAAAGTCAAGTGGCGGAGGAAAACTCCAAGTTGTAATTTGAGATAAAACATGTCGCATCTCGCATGTATATGTATCTCTAAGGGTAACAGGATCATGCACGGGATTTTCTTGATGGGATGGTATCGAACATATCATATGAGAAGTGAAATTAAAGGCAAGTCTATAATAAAATGTAGATATTAGTTAGATAGATCAATCATCGAATTTGATATGATAACAGAAGGAATCATTAATAATTAAAAAACCAAAGATACAATGGACGACGTCGTTGGTATTATGGTAACATGAATGGAAAGTCAAATTCAAGTTATGCAACGCGGCAATAAAACTTGCCTGCTGTTTCGTTCTGGTTGGCAGAAATGGTTTTATACGCCAGGGATAGTCCTACTGGGTAGTTCAAAAATTAAAGAACGATAGAAACGTTACCCCGCCACCCCCAATTTCCGTCTAGGCAGTTGATTCCGCCGTGCTATAGCTATTCAAGTAGTGAAAAAAGGAATGAAAGAGAGCCACAAAGCGAAAGATATTTGCTGTCAACAAAATTCAATAAATCCTAATTAATTAGTTATACGTGCCTAAAATGAGGAAATCTATCATTATACGCAATTCTGATTAATTATTTCTTGTTTCTAGAAATGAAAAGTTATCTATATTGTCCAGAATGTATATTATAAATATGTAGAGGTTAAAGAAGCTCACCAACATTAGTTATCAATAGGTGTTTTCTTTCTCACTGGTACTGCAGAGTCCATGGAGGTGATAAAATGATCTCGTTCTTCAAGATATATAATTATCATCTTCTTTCAATCTGAAATGATCATCACGACTCGAAACTGC